GATAATGGAGTGGCTAATAAAATATTCATAAACATGAAAACTAATCATATAATATCTTTAATGTCAGTATATTTTAGTTACAGTGGTTTTCAAAAGTATGCATACCCTGTGAACTTGTCCATATTTTGTCACATTGCAACCACAAACATAAATATTATTTGGGATTTAATGTGAAAAACCAACACAAAGAAGTACATTGAGGTAGCAGCTTTGTTATCTATAACGAAGCTATTTTAACAACAGCAAACAATCACACAAAGCTAATTAGCATCATTGACTAGCGCCCCAGAAGAGAACTGACAGGAATATGTGGCAATGGATGTGATATTAGTTGGTGGAAATGTTGTATAAATAATTCAGATTACATTTAGGCACACACTATTTAGGATTACTGGATTACTGAATTTGAAAAAAAAAATGTTTTAGAAACGAACCAGCAGCAACAGCGATGGTAGTCCTAATAATGATTCCAACCTTAGAGAAATGCATGACAGGAGCCCTAAAGATGGAGAAGATTACAACTTGGGTGGAGGTAAAAAATAAGAGAGGATTTCCTAAAGAAGAATAAGTCAGAAGAGGAAGACAGTGGAGGCTTTGGTGAAGAGGAACAGGTGGAGACAAAGAAGGTTCATTAGGACACAATGAAAAAGATGATGATTGTGCTTCTGATGAAAAGGGCAGAAGATGACGTAGTCAGCACTATAGTCTATGGCAACTCTGAGGTTAGCGAGAGATGAAGATGGCGTCTGGAGGGGATAATGATGACAGCTCTGGCTGCTCAGATGAAGAAAATAAAGTTCAGGAGGTGGTGATGAAGAAGCTCTAGAAGGAAGATTTCTCCTCAGGACGTTTGTCAATTCTTGGATGTTTGGTTTGTGCAGAGCCGGACCAAACCTGTGGTTGTTTCTTATGGGATACCCCCAGGGGTGAAAGTAGAGGGGTAAGGTAGGGTACTGCGTACCCCTAAAAGATTTAGCGGGGGTATGCAGTACCTGCAAAAGAGGGGAGCGGTTGTCTGCTGTAAAAAAAAATCAGTGGGTTCACTGTGCAGCCGTGACTGATTAGTTTTTCAAGAACAATCCAAAACACGACAGTTAATAAATATTTTTTCTCCATTTATTAAAAATAAAATTTTTCCCCATTTCAAATTGTTTCTGAACTCTTCGTGCTTTACTAGAGCAAGGCTGCAATACGTGGATCGCGGAAGGTTTTGAGTGGATCTCGGCATTAGGTGACAAACTGAACGCCGCCAGGAGGCTGAGACCAGCACGTCCTCCTCTGATTGGCTTATCAAAACGTTCCTAACTTTATTAAAGAACAACAACAACAACAACAACAACAAAAGTCAACAAAACGTGTTCAAATTAATGACCCAACAACAATAATAATCTCAGTAATTATTGTTTCAACAAGGTGTTGCGCAAATCTGTGCGTTTCGGTTCCATTATCAAAATAACTAGCAGAACATGAGTTTAAAATGAACTAATAAACCACCGCTGTGTTCATGAGAGGGTTTTTAATGATCGCAAAAATAAATCAAACCTGCAAACATAATATTGTAACGGACTAAATGTTATGTTTTTAACGTAATCTCTGGTCGGTTTGTGGTGCGCAGGCAGTTGCCATGGCGACGGGGGTGCTTAAATGACAGAGAGTAAAAAAGAGCGAGAGGTTTAGAGTTGATCACCTGTTCAGGTTGTTTTACCTTTGCTGTGGCTCATCACAGCCGCTGTAGTTTCTGAACGTTCAATAAATGACAAACTTGGACTAATTATCTCGTTCGTCTGCGAGTATACGTCATTTACAATAAACATCAAACACGGTAAATATGTTTCATTAAGTATTTAACAAACAAATGGCTTCTACCGCGATAATTATGTGAAATTAAATTAATTGTCTAATATAAAAAAATAGTTTGGTGCTGTCGGGCTCAGAGTCTGAGAGGCTTTTCCTTTATCATACAATTTTTTTGTCTCTTATTTAGTGGAAATATTGATGTTGATGAGATTTTCTCCAAAATGATAACCTTTTTAAACCTTTATAGCTCCACTGTTGAAAATGAGGCTCTAATAGCCACAAATGACGGTGAAATAAAATCCAGTCCAACATCTGGTTTGAGGTGATTCCTCTGGAACCTTTTGGAGGAAAAACATCCCAACTTCAGAAGATGAGCTTTAACCTAACAGAGCTCTGTGGTTCCTCCTATCAGTGTGAGAGTCAGGGTGAGGAGGCGCCAGACATGGAAAACTGGGATGCACTCCATGCCATGATGTTCAGAATTTAGGTCTCATGGCATCTCAAGGTGTCAACGTTGCAGCCAGTGGGCTGAAGGAGATACAGCTTTATTTTGTAGCAATGCAAGAGCTACCCAGCTTTTATTGCTTCGCAAAAGAATTAATCAGCACAGAAACTCCAAAGCACACAAAGAAACAATTGTGTATATATGTATATAATACACTTTTTTCATAGTACCCCCAAGAATATACTACTTTCACCCCTGGTTACTCCTAAGAAGCAATCTTAGGGGTAACTGTCATGAAAATATTAGTTATTTCCATGATGATACTGATTTGTGACAAACCCTCCTAGATTAGCACTTTTAAAAACTGTTTTGACATGTAAAAGTTTAATAAACTTTGTTTTAATGACAACATGGAACCTGCAGAATGATTCCACTCTTTTCAACAAGCAGAGGATCCTGCTGAGCTAACACAGTGATGCCAGTTAAATCAAAGAGACAGACATGTTTCACATGAAGCTGATGGTGGCAGAGGTCAGTTTAATATCACCATGATGCAATGCGAGTGTCTGCTTTGCTAAAATAGCTTGTGAAGAGCTATTTTTTTCTAATTGGTTTCCTGTAACAACAAAAGCTTGAAAGATGACACCTCCATGAGATCTGATGTCTGCTTTGCAGAGCCGTCAAGATTTGTAGACGGCAATCTTCCTCATCGCGACAACCTGGTTTTCAACGTAATATTTTCTCCATGTTATTCTTACATTTAAAAACGGCTGAGATTCCAACTATATATTTAATTCACAAGCAAAATATTTCATTTACAAACTAAATGTTCAGCTCCAAACAAAATGTTTATTTTGCTAAGTAAAATTTATTTACCAAACTAAACATTTAATTTTCAAACCAAATATTTAGCTTGCTAGCTAAATAGTCAAAATACAAATTAGCTTGCAAATAGGAAGAAGTGGAATATCAAAATAAAAGTTGGGTTTTGAGGACCTATAAATAAACTATACAGCGCTGACTACTAAATATTTAATTTGCAAACTAAATATTTAGCTTTCTAAATAAATATTTAATTTGACAGCTAAACAGGTTTGTAAACAAAATATTTAAGAGGCTAAATATTTAAGTCTGAGCTAAATATTTAGCTTTGAAACAAAACATTTAGTCTATAAACTAAATATTTAGCCACACAATTAAATATTTATTTTCCAAACTATACATTTCATTTGCAAACTAAATATTTAGCTCATAATTAAATATTGAGATCCAAGCTAAATATTTAAATGATATGCTAATTAGCTTGCTAATAAGTGGAAGTGGGATATAAAAAACCCTGGGTTTTAAGGACCTATATAAACTCCACTGGTTTCTACTAAATATTTAGTTTGTATACTAAATATTTAGCTTGTGAATTAAATATTTAGTTTGGAATGCTGACATGTATAAATGTATAAGTAACATGATGAAAATAAGACTTTGAAAAATTAACTCCTGCATTTTGTCTATAACAAGCTAAATAAACTAGAATATTGCTTTTAATTTTTTACTGTGTAACTTTACAAACAGATTAATAGAGCCATAGATTATTATTATGTACAGGACATTTAACCTTCCAGAGACCCTGGTGTGTCAACTCAGCATAGCCATGATATGATGGAGAGTAGCCATGTAAATCTGCTCTCTGTCAGGCGTAGAGGCAGGTTGTTTGGGTACTGGAAGATGTGAAATGGGACATTCTTGATGCAGCATGAACTTATTGCTAGCTTTGTTCGCTGTTTTCTGAGGAGAGCTGAGGACAGCTGCTGCCCACCATGCAGGCCTTCGCTCCTCTGATGGAGCTCTGTCTGCAGCAGAGCACCCCTCTGAGTCTGTCTGTTTCCTGACAACACAAGCTGAAGATTCCCCTTCCAGCCAGACGACTCCAGCTATCCATGCATTTACTCTGGATCAATCAGGAGTTTGCATGCTAGCTAAGCAGCTGGTAACCATACAGAGCTGGAGTCCAACAGATTTATTTTCTATTCGCATGGTCAAGCATAACGTTATGCCTCATAGCGTGCTGTTCCTCCTTTTTCTGGGAAAAACATCCCTGATCTGCAATAATATATAATGAGTTTTCTATTATTGTTTAGTTTCATTTTGTTGTGAGTTTTTGTTTGTCCAGTTCAGTTAGCTTTAATTAATTTTAGTGTGGTTGCTAGTTTTTAAGGTAATGTCATTTTATTTATATACTACATTTTTAGCAATAAGGCAATTCAAAGTCCTTTAGATGAGTTGGAAGAAAATAACAAAACAAAATAACAAAAGCAAAAGACAAAAGTACTCCACAATTTGTAAACTAATAGGATTTTCTCTGGATAAGCTAATAATAAATAAAAAGTAATGCTAACTGCTGATCTAAGGTAATGAGTAGTTAGTTTCTCTAGATATCTAAGTTTGTTCTAATTTCTGCTCTGGCTTAAGTGAAGTATAAAACTAGATGTTCCTGTTCTGGGTTGTTAAGCAGGTAAGTATAAGTACACTATAATTTATTAGCTAAATGTTGGTTCTCTGTGTTTGATGCTAAGATGGTCTTAAATGTTGATCGGTAAGACGTTTGTTCCAATTCCTACTCTGGGTTGAGTGAAGCATCTTCTGGATTTTTATGTTCTAACTAATAGGTTTGATTCCTGTTCTGGGTCGAGTGTCTAAGATAATAAGTACTCCACAGTTTATAAACTAGAAGGAGTTTCTCTGAACTAGCTAAATATTGATCTAAAGTAATGAGTACTCCAGATTTTCTAAGATTAATAATAAACTAGACAGACAGACAGGGGAGGAAATGGCACATCAGGAAAAATAAGCACATGTAGTAATATTCAAATAATACAAAGACATGAGCTGGCAAAGACAGTGAGGTCAGGGAGTATATATTTGTAGCCCAACAGTCTCTGACAAGGTGGTATTATCTAAGAGCAAGTCCTTGGACAGTCCAGTCATCATCTGATTCCTCAGATGACTTGGGGAGAGGAGAGGAGATGGGAAAGATGAGCTTGTTTGCATAAACTCCAGGAGATTTGAGATAGTCAGCAAGCCAAGGCAGACACAAGGGAGTCAAATTCAGAATAAACAATATTCTTTGTCGGCAGGGTAACAACCTCTCCAAGATTGATTCCATCAACTTTGGTCAATTTCGTTATTTTGTTAGTTTAGTTCACTGTAATAACCTTATACGGGATCTGTCTTCCTCAAATTATTATAGGAAGTGACTGTTGCGCTACGACCCGCCCCCTGGCTCTGATTGGTTGTTTTTGATCGGGAACAGTGTATTTCTTCAGACAGTAATAGTAGCTCAGGGAGGAGGTGGAGAAGATTGACTTTTTCACTGACTGTCTCATAACAAATGTAAAAAAACCATATTCTTTATAAAACTTACATACAGCAGCTTTAAGGTTATTGCTCTGGGTGATAATATTCTTGTTCATAACAGTTCTGGTCAGTTTGTTTGCCAACCAGCCCTCCTTTGTTTTACTTGGTTGACCTTCTCATGAACCAGGACGGCACCAGCTGTTGGGAAACATGCACTGCCTGCGCAACTTGTTGTCCACATGATCCTTTCTTTTGTTCTAGACGGGAAAAGCCTCAGGGTGAAGGCGGCCATCTTGGAAAGCTATTGTTGCCGTTTCTCACCTCCCCCACACCTTACAGTCAGACATTTCTTCCCAGAAATCTTAACAGCTTCTTTGATTTGGGATAAAGATGACCAGAGTAAATAAAAAATTCACACTTTTCAAGTGATGATTTCATTCATTAAAGATAAAACATTATTCCAACCAACTTGAGGAAATGATACTCTCTGAACCCGACTCCAGGTTGAGCCGCCCTTGGTGCCGTCGAGGCTTTTAAGGGCAATAAAAAACCTGAACAGAAACCAAGAGTAGTAATACTAAACGCGAGTACTTTCAGAAGTGTAGCATCTTAGTTTAGGTATTTAAAAGATGTTTTAAGGTCCAGAAACTTCTTAAGCTGGTCGTTTCACTCTGATTTTATGAGAGCAAACCTGCATCAAGGTGATTTTATCTGGATTATTTCTGGGCAACACATAATCTGCTAGTTTGAGAAGCAAAGCAACTAGTAAATGAATATCAAAAATAATATTTCTATTTAAACTTATATTTTATATATATATAAAAAAAAATAAAAATAAGACTGAAAAACCAAAAACAACAATTATGATAAAAAAATTCATGGGATTAGATTCCCCCCCCCCCATCCAATTTACTGAGGCCCCACAGCGCCCCCTGGCGGCCTCCACTTTGAAAAACAAAGATGTCCTCTGTGTTCCTGATCCAGAACCAGAGAGGCTCAGCTTCTGACCCACCCAGTGGTTCTCTAACACCCTCAGTAGTCGCCTTTTTGAACCGGCCGGCAGAAGGTCCAGTGATGCTCCACTGTGTTCTCGTTGGCCCGTTCGCTCATGTGAAGAACCCGCGTGTTTCTGATGGCGAAGCCCTGCAACACAGCAGCCCGTCAGCCACAGGTTTGATCTACGGAGACTGAGGGCGGCGGTTCTAACGGACGTACGGCTTTGGAGATGAACTCCAGCAGGTTGACCCGCAGGCTGACCTCCTGCTGGTAGTCACACGGTCCAAACGTGAAGGACACCTGGAAGTCTCTGCTGTCCATCATGTGTTTGGTCCACTTGGTGAAGCTGCTGGAGACGGACTCCAACACCGACTGGACCTGGAGAACCAACACAACATCTGCTTATTCCTCCTTCCAAAGAACTGCTGAAGGAATCTGGAGGATCCTTCAGCCTTCTGGAGGATCTCATGGTTCACTGTGGAACCATGAGATCCAAACCCAACAACCAAAACTTTCCTCTGAAAACAGTTCTGGAAACTTTCCTCTGAAAACAGTTCTGGAAACTTTCCTCTGAAAACAGTTCTGGACCGAAAACAGCAAAGGTCAAATGGAAAGCGCTGACCTTTGCTGATGTAAGGACGCCATATTGAAAAATCAAACCAATTGCAACACAGTCACCTTCTTCCATCCAAGACATAAAAGCGCACACACACACACACACACACACATATATATATATGTGTATTTTTATTTTTTTTTTACTTTTAGCCGTGAACTCCCTAAAATCTTACTGTCCTGCTCTGGGTTAAGAACATTTTTTTTTCCTCTGTAACAAATTATTGCGCTGCTGTGTCAGTAACCATAACCCAACGTTGTGACCGAAGTCTGCAGTAGTTGTGTCGGTCTTGGAGAGGAGACTTTGCATCGTCTAGGATTTAAATCCGTTTCCATGGTAACAGCTTTCCTCAACAGGTCTCCATATTTCTGCCGGCGCATTCTGACATCAAGCTGAGCGGACGGACGCGCTCAGCGGTGCAGGAGGCGAAGCAGAACCAACAAGAGTTTGAATTAATAACGATATTCATCAATGTGCCGCAGAGCAGCTGCGCTCAACCCTTCAGTGAGTTTTAATTTAATTTGTCACATTTAAAATATTTAAAGCTATCAGTGCGGGGATATTAATGTTTATATTGAATGAATACTTTGGGATGTTGAGCAGGGTCGTATCCAGGAGGCTTCTAAGGAGGGCTGAATGGGGCCAGTGAAGGTCTTTTAATAAAAAACACAGGCAGAAAACTGGAGAAAAGATTGACTTAAACATAAATACATAAAACACATAAATAACTCTGACCAATTTAAGCTATTTTTTCTTCTGTCTTAAGTTATTTATTAAAAGAAACACATGGTATTTTTTCATCACAGTGAGTTTTCCCCCAAACTCAGTGGTTCTTAACCTTTTTTGAGGTACCGAACCCCCCAGTTTCATATGCGCATTCATCGACCCTCCTACCTCCGCCCCCCCTCGACACAGAAAATAATTTGCGGTATTCTGATTTATTAATGTAATTATAATAGTTGTATTACCTCCCCCACGCCACTAGAGGCAGTACCAACCCCGAAAAGATGCGACTAAGGAGCAGATTTAGACTATAGAATCTGGTAAAAACGCTGAGCTTTACTGAAGTAATTAAAGACACAAGTTCAAATCCATGCTGAGAGTGGAACTCCTTCCCGCAGCTCTGATTGGCTCAGCAATGTAACGTGATCCTCTGGAGCAAGCGATGGCAAAACGGGGCGTCATCACGACTTTACACAGTGTGTCTTTACCTCCGCGGCAGAGGCTCCGCCGAACCCCTGAGACCGACTCATCAAACCCCTGGGGTTCGATCGAACCCAAGTTAAGAACCACTGCCCCAACTGAAGGCAAAAGGATTTGGATCTTCTGGAAACATCTAGGTCAGTTAAGGCCTCCGGCAGAGAACCGCAGGTAAAGACAATAAAAAGTAAAATAAATAATAATAACAATAAAGACATGAGAGCGGATGTGAGGAACCTTAGTGGTGATGGTGAGCTGGGTGATGATGACTGCGACAGGGTTGGAGTATTTGGACAGCTTCCTGGTGCTGGACAGCTCCACCACTTCCTCATAGGTGTCGGTCGGGTACAGCAGCAGCGGCCTGGGGTCTCCCAGGCACTGGATCAGGGGTTCGATCTGGTAGAAGTCCGCCTCTTTACGGAGCAGCGCCGTCTCCTTGAAGCCACAGGGCAGCGTCAGCTCCGACGAGCGCAGGAAGTTTAGGATGTAGCTGAAACGAGACCGAGAGCGGGTCGGGCCCGGTTAGACTGGTTCTGTCCAGCAGCCGGGTCAGACCAGGTTAGAACGGATGAGCATTCTACTTTCAGAAAACCCGGCTTGAGTCCCAATACCCTCTCCCTGGTCCTGGAATCTTTCACTGGTCTGGTACCTCCAGAACCAGTGAAAAAACTTGTACTTTCCACTGATTCTTACAGTGATTCTTGTACCTTTCACTGGTTCTGGAAGTTCTTTTACCGCTCACTGGTTCAGGTTCCTTTCACTGGTTCTGGCCCAGTGGAAATGTTGGGCTATAATTAATAATCGGGGCTTTTCTGAATTTCTAAACTAGCTAATGAGACCTGGGCTGTCAGAGGTCCATCTGAGTATGAAAAGCGTCCGAAACCCGCGGACCCACCGGAACAGCGGGCCGTCGCGGTCGATGAAGTAGTTCCCGCGGGAATCTTTGACCGTCGGCAGGTCTCCTCTAAACATGGCGCCGAGCAGGGAGTCGGGGTAGCGCCTCAGCGTGGACAGTGACGTGCTGTAAACACAGCCGCCCACGTTCAGACTCACTGGCTCCCCCATCTGGACACAGGAGTAACAGCAACAGTTTTCTTTTTTATGGCAGTTGGCAAGAACGTTTAGATGTGCTTTACCTCCATCTACTCGAATGGAGACAATAACTGTATATTACACAGATTTCATAACAAAAAACTGATTCTATTAATTTCATCTTCTTAAGGTACATTAACAAAAAACAATATCCAGAAGCGGAAAGTTTATCCAAAAGGTTTTCAACTGTAGTTTGTCAGCCTGTGATCTATGTACCAGTTCCCTTCTCTCAATTCAATATTTGAGGGTGATCAATAAAAATTGTATAATTGTCTCTTCTTGAAAACAAACAAGAGACAATATTTTCCTGTTTGATATTTTCATATTTCAAAATATTTAACTCTGAATGACCAAAAGGTGACATAGTTGTTTCCTGCTTTCTATTTCGTCTTGTTCTCCTCATTATACCAACCTGCCAGTTCTTTCTTCGTCTGATGTTTCTGCCATTTTACCTATTGTTTAATATCAACAATATTTTTCTAAAAACTAGCAAATACACTATAAAAACTAATTAAAACTAACTGAATTAGACAACGCCAGAGAAAACTAAACAATAATGAAAAACCAGAAACTATAATCATGCTCAGCAGCAAAGTCCAGATTGTTGGTACAGAACCACTGTACTGGACAGGTCAAGTGGACACACACACCATGTGACCCAGGTCTCCATTCTCCATCTGCTGCCGCCAGCTCCCTCCGCGGTTCACAGCGCCAAGAACATCATCATTCCCGAGTTTCCACCTGTAACGAGAAACAGAACATCTTGAGAGATGGTTACCGTGGCAACAGGCTGCAGGCAGATCCACCCTGATTGGAGAAGCAGAACCCTGGCTGGTGAGTCCCTGATTGGGCCACAGACGTCCGTCGGCTGGTGAGGAAGAGGAGGGAGACTTCATCTGATGAAACCAGGAGAACCAGCAGGTCTCCAGCATCAGAACAGGCTAGACCAGCCAAGGGTCAAGGGTCAAAACCAGGATTTAGTTCATTACAAACTCTAAAACATGCAGCGGAACCAGAGATAACCAGGCCTAGAACACATCATTCATGGACGGACAGACAGACAGTTGGATGGATTAACGGATAGTTGGGTGGATGGATGGACGGACAGACGGATGGATGGATGTTTGAATGCTAGTAAAGTCTCTCCCCAAATTACCAGTTGTATTCTGGACTTTAACTAGGCCGTTCTAACCCATGGTCTCTGTCTGGATGTTCAGTCTAGTTGTCCTGCTGGAAGCTGAACTTTGACCCCAGCCTCAGGTCATCTGCTGCCTCTAACAGTCGTTCTCCATCTCCATCCATCTTCCTGTCAACCCTGACCAGCTTCCCCCATAATGATGCTGCCCCTACCATGTCTTGTATTGAGGGTTATGCTCAGAGTGAATTTTCAAAATTTTTTATTTTGGCCATTTTTGGCCTTTTTTTTTTTACGACAGAAAACCAATGAAATAGTTTACATTTGAAGCTGTATGATGAGAAAACGCAGAAATGTTCACGAGAACCTATGGAGAACAGAAATATGAGCGTAGGCTGAATCTGAACCGACGTGAACCTGCAGAACTGGGTCAGAACAGGACCTGTTAGTTCTCTGTTGGGAAATCACATTAATGTTGTTCCATTGTTGCCTTTTGGATTGTACTGACCCCTTTGCGCCACCGTAATAATGTTATCACACAGATGAATTAAAACATCCGTACAGACTGATCCCTTCTGGAGATGTTTAGATGATTTATAACTGAGATATTTGTAAATATGAAGCTTTAACTATACGTTTCTGACACTTAAGGAGAACAAAAAAAGTTAATTTTCTTTATGATAATATAAGGTTTTCTTCTTCCTCCTCCTTTTTTTCTTTACTGTCATTAAATGTTCATATTTATAACCTCTGCGGTGGAATCAGTCAATGAAATGAAGCAGAGAGCTAACAGTTAGCAGCTCTTAACAGGTTAAACATCGATTCAAAATTAAACTTTTAAAAATTAAAAAAAAATCCTGCCGGGTCCTACCTGAAGGATCCAGTTAACTTCCAGATGAACTGGTATGTTACAGCAGCTGATGACACACAGCTTTGTTTACACCCTTTTTCCCCTGCGGACGCCACTTCCGGTAAGACTCGCCAAAATAAAGCCTACAAAATAAAAGTCGGTTGAACCGCATTCATGTCTATGGGTTGAACTGCCACTGGAAACAAACAAATACAGATATTAAAGGTACAAATAACTACCATTATAATTATAATTATAAGTATAATATTATTATTATAAATATTTATTTTAATTACTAAATTTTTTTTACAAGAAAATCCCTCCTTTTTGAGGGTGTACATGACCCATCCATGCATCCATTTCTGTACACCCTTGTCCCTCGTGGGGTTGAGAGGCATCCTGGTGCCTAAGGGTGTACATGATGCAAAACAATAATTAAAAGGTGGAAACAAAACATCATAAAAATCTAAATACAAAAATCTAGTACAAACTAAATAAAAACTCACAAAAATAGAGCATAACATTCAGACTTTATAAATAAATCAAATTAAATAAATAACAAATAATTATCCAGTGACTTTTCAATTACTGAACCTAATCTTAACTAGTTTTAAAAGGGCAGTATTACATAAAGTCAACCTTGTTTTTAGCTTTACATCATGTTATGTTACTCCCTCATTAGTTGCTTTGGAGTTCCCCCTGTTGTTGTTTTTTTCTCTGCCAATTTGAGGGGCAGAACTTCGAGTCGGCAGGAAATTAAATGTTTTTGATTGTTGAATGTTGCATGACTGTGTTTTTGTGTTTAATGATGTAAAATGTGAAATGCCTTGCTGCTGAAATGTGCTACACAAATAAAATTTGATTGATTGATTGATTTATTGATTGATTATTCCATGCATGTTTTAGAAATCCTTTAATCCCCATGGCAAAACGCCTGTGTGGACCTAGCCCTGGTACCAGCTCCTTCAGACTAGCCAGCAGCAATTAGCAAAGAACTTCACATCAGCTGAGCTCATTATAGGAGCAATTTCTAAGTGAAATGCTGCTAAAAGATTGTTAAAGGGCTAATAAAGGAGCCATGTTGTAGTGACTTTCTGAAGGGAGAGTTTCAGAAAGAGCAGGAGTTTTAAAAGAGGCCTAATTTAAAGGCATTATATCAGGAAGTACATTTTCTTTCAACCTATTTGATGAGAATTGATGATTTGAATAATCATCAATTATTATGATTGATCACAAGTCACAAGTCACTTGTGATTTTGATAATGTAACTTGTGGTGTTTGTTACTGGTTTCTCAATTGGTGACTGCATAATGTCTTAATGACTTTTTATTTTTGTGTTTTTATTATGTAAAACACTTTGAATTGCCTTATTGCTGAAATGTACACAGATAATTGATTGATAATTGATGGATTTAATCTTTTAAGTTTTATTTGACATATACAGCATTTTTACAACAACGTAAGGTAACATACAAATGTACCATAAAATGCCACTATGTGTCTAGAAAGGCAGACATAGTCTGCACAGTTCTGGCCTCCCACCGCGCGGGGGCGCCTTCTCCGGTGTGTGGAGGCGGATGATGTTTTGTTTATTGAGTTTACTTCCTGTTTCTGCAGCTCATCGCGGTAAAACGTTTATAACTTCTACTTCGTCTCATTCTGCAGAACTTTGGGCTAAGTTCTGGTTCCGACCCACTTCTCTGGAGCTCCAGGTTGTCGCAGGCACGAACAGAGTCTGCTCCGAACCGGAGAACGCCCTCAGCCATGGAGTCTGAGAACCCAGGAGTAGCAGACGGAACCGAACCTGCAGTTGAATCCAACGAGCATGATTACGCACACACCGCGGACACAACCGAACCTAATGCAGGCGGAACGCTGCAGCCCCCCGAACCACCGCAGTTTGAGCTCCCAGAACCCGTCCTCGGTGCAGAAGTGGACTGCCCCGGAGGCACAGAACCGAACCCTCACACCGAGGTCGAGCCTGCTGTGAGCTGCGCTGAGGCGGTACCGCGTGGCGGTTCGCGGCGGTCCAGACGGCCGGAGGACCGTAACTGCTGTTGCTGCCGGCTGCTGTTCCAGCGGCAGGGCCGCTCCCTTAACCGCAGGGCGGTGTTCACCTTCACTACCCCGGACACCGTCCGCTGGGTCTTCCCGGACTCCGAGGTCCACGAAAAGTCCTTCCTGTGTGAAACCTGCGCCCAGATCATCCGAACCAAGGGGAAGCGCAAACAGAGCGGGAAGCGCTCGCTGTGGGTCAAGCCTCCCGAGGTCAGGAAGGTACGTATAGAACAGGTACCAGCAGCAGGGGCGCAACTACATATTATTCAGGTGGATGCTGAAAACATAAATCCCCCCGACCCCCCACCTGAGAAGAAGACACGTGAAAGGAAAAACTCGCTACATTTACACGTGCGCGAGGTGAAGGAGCGTAAGGGCGCAGTGAGGTGTATGCGAAGGCATCATCGAGGCGCCGCCCCCTCCAGACGGGGTTTTGACGCCGCCTCTGGTGCAGCGCCCTACCCACTTTTTGCGCCACTGACCAGCAGTCAGGGAGGTTTAGCAGCGGTACATTCAGACTGACGGGTGTGTATAGAACCGGTACAATAGAACCTGCAGCTGCAGACCGGAAGGTGCGAGTGGAACCGGTACCTTCAGAATGGAAGGTGCTTATAGAATCAGTACAGGAAGGTGCGTATTGGTACCACCAGACCGGAAGATGCATATAGAACTGGTACCAGCAGACCGTCCTTTTGACTGCAGTTCCAGATCGATGGAGATTTCTGCAACATTGAATTTCTAATTGGGGTAAAATTATCAACGTGTTAAAATAAAACGCATGAAAATAAAGTATCTGAGTTTCAATAACCAAACTTTTATAGTTATTGCAGGTTTGTCAATTAAGAGACTTTCAGCAGCCAAATAAAACTGTTATCTTATTTATTAAACTCGGCTAAACTCAGCAGATGTTTTGCAAATGGTCCTTAATCCTGTTCTTATACTGAGAATAAAGTGAGAGAAAATTAGATTCTCCACAGCGATTCTTAAAGTAAAATAAAATCGACTTTTTTTAGCTTAACATCATGCTATAATGTTGTTCCCTCATTAAAAACTTACCTGGAGTGTTGCCTTGACTTTTCTATTCATGTTTGGTAACTCCTTTAATCTCCATGGCAACCATTCAGCTGTAAAATGCCTGGTTGGACCTTTGCGCTGCCTTCAAGGACCAAGCTCTGATCTTCAGTTTCCAAGTTTCTGAGCTTCCACCTTCGCTCCTTCAGACTAGCCAGCGGCAATTAGCAAACACTTCTCAAAAAAACATTAAGGCTAATAGAGGAATGATGTTGAGCTGACTTCCTGAAGGCAGAGTTTCAGAAAGAGCAGGAGTTTTTAAAGAGACAGGCCCAATTTCAAGACATTAAATCTGGAAGTAAAATTATTATTTGATTTTGCTATAAAATGTCACTGTGAGGCTGGACAACTCATTATACCGCCCTTTCAAATAAATTTTTAATCTATACATTTATGGTGGTTTACATCCCTTACAAAAAAAGCAACTGTTCAACCCATGTGACAAAAAGTTAGTGCACCCCTGAGACCCTCTGATTAACCTCCATGTCTCTAGCAACAGGAGTTTATTCTCTCTTCAGTCTGATCGATGAACCTCCAGGTGTTTGCTGGTTCAGCAGGTTTGGTTCTGTTCGCAGGCGAAGGTGTCACCGGCGCCGGGCCGCAGGATGGGTAAGAAGAGCAAAGCGGCGCTGCTGGTTAGCAAGTCCAGCTACAAGGCGGCGCTGCAGATGCTCTGGTCGTCCAAAGGTGCCCGGAAGCCCATGCTGGAGTTCTGGAGCAAGCAGCTGCGGACCGAGGTGAGTCTCCGGGTCCGGGTGGTCCATCAGTGATAATATTTTATGGTTAAAATCGCCAAATTAATGCATTTCCTGATGAAATGCATGGAAGTAGTCCGGGGTGCCTCACCTCTGGTGGTGCTGTTTCACTAAATGTGCAGTTCACTTTAGATTAGCCTCCATCTCAATTTTTTATCAGGGTTATAGCTAACAACTTTAATCACTAAACTACAACCCTCTGTATTGTAAAACTATAAACCCTGACAATACGGACTGTCTGTAAACATCATTACTTGGAATTTATCATGACAATGACAAATCAGAAGAAATTTATCACGATAAATAATAAACGATACGATAACTGTTGACCCCTACTTTGAACAAATATGTAAAACATATGGTAAATACAAAAGTTACAAACTGCATTGCAAAACCTGAAATATAAGTTTCTATGTTGGATTTTGGATTTGTACCTCATCGTGTCTGTGCAGATGAAGGTTCTGGCCCGGCGGACGGACAGTCCCTTCCAGCAGAAGGTGTCAGACCGGAAGCCGCTGTCCTCCTTCCCGTGGCGGCACTGCCTGAGCTGGGCCCAGCAGAACGCGCCGCTGGTCACCACCTGCCTGCGCGCCATGTTCCCCGACATCAACACACTGTACCGGAGCAGCCAGTGAGTCCCGCCGCCTGACCCGACCCAGTTCAGTTCGAAGTTTGGGTTCTGAGCACTTGTTTCCTGTCTGTTTAGCAGCCAGCTGACTGAGGATCAGGCCATCACGCTGCTGGAGCGCCGCGCCGTGGTGGCGCTCGCCATCCCGCTTTTCACCAGGAACATCTGGAGGAACAACTTCCTGCAGGCGGCGCTGGGGGCGGAGCTCCGGCTGCAGGGCTGCACCGGATCCGTCCTGGACGCGCTCAACACCATGGGGCTGTGCCAGAACAAGGACACGGTCCGGCTGCTGGTGCATCGGCTGTGCAACGGCAAAGACCTGGTGAGTTTGTGCCGAACCGGAACCAAGATTAACTCAAACTAATGAAATAAGAAAAACTGAAACTGAGAAAACGTTTTGAACTAAAACAAATAAAAACATGGTTTAATGGGGAGAAACCATAACTAACTGAAACTTCTGTATATTGTGTGGTTATGAAACTACCTAAAACTTCTTGAAATTATAGCTATAATTCTTAGTTTTTATGTTTTTGCATCTATTTATAAGCCTTTCGATCTGGTGTGGAATAGATTTTTTTCTCACACAAGCAGTTTTCATAAGCTGGCAGCAAATTACAGCACTTGCATTAGTTCGCAAAATGGCTGCTGCAAAAATGGAGAGAAAACATCAGTCAGTTTGTTGTTCAGCAATAATTGAAAACATTTTTTTGAAAATATTTTCTTCTGTTGAATATTTATTACCCAATACATGAATACATAATACAATACAGTACTTGAACCTGTTTTGTATTCTGCACCTAAAAATGAACCACATTACTGAAAAGATAAATCTGATACCACAACTAAAGAAAACTAAACATTATTTAACTAATTACAACTAATTACAACTAATGAAAACTAGCAAGCGCACTCAAAAACCAAATTAAGACCAGTTAAGTTAGACAAACAGAAGTCATCTTGGCATAAAACTAAACTATAAGGAAAAACCCAAAACTATTATAACCCTGGTCAGAACCAGTGGTCCAAACTTCAAATCTTCAGCAGCTTTCCGGTCCTGACCAGAACCTGATGGGAGCCGCTGAACAACTCTGGGAGTTGATCTTTCCAGCTGCTCCACTTCTAAGCTGCAGTGTGTTACTTCTAAAAAAACAACAACATATTTTTACATATTTGTTGAAAGTGTACCACTCTCGACCAAAAACAACCAATCAGAGCCAGGAGGCGGGTTTTAGCACTGTCAATCACCCTCATGTACTCTGCTAACAGCACAGAAAAAACCTATGGCTATAAGAAAACTGTTTATCCTAACTGCTAACTGTAAATGCTAACTAGCTTCAGCATTTACAACAGGATTTATTAACTGCAGCTAGCAGGCTGTGATTGACAGCGCTAAGGTTCGCCTCCTGGCTCTGATTGGTTGTTTCTAGTTGGTGCTGGGAATGTTTGTTTTTCAGATTATCTGACTCATACCAAACTGACCCGACATAGTGACATTTTTAACAAATAAGTAAAAAATATATTTTTTTATAAAAGTTACATACTGCAGCTTTAAGATGCTATGTTTTAACTGAAACCAGTAAAATCACAGAGATCCCAGTTTGAATAATTTGAGCTCCAGTAAGGAAATTCCTGAAGAGCTGATCAATCAAATCAATAATCTTTTATTTATCACAAAGAGAAATTTAATATTGCAACTCAGATCTTCCAAGGCTCCTCAGTTGTTTTAGATGGTGATGCTCCAGTAGCAGTCTGTCTTACAAAGAATAAAAGAAGGCCTCTGACTGAAAACTGTTGCTGCCTGACTGGGTAATTGTAGGACGTTATGGGAAAAAAAACTTGTAGTTTGCAACCAAAAGGTAAAAATTTGTTCGGAAATGTTCAGATAAAAGTAATAAAATGTACAAATGTTGAACCAGAGGTCACAGAGGTGAAAGGTCAGATTCCTTCCTCAAGTTCAGCTCAATGAATATTTTTGTAGTTCCTCTTTTGGACACAGGGGGCGCCGTTCTGCCTGCTAACCGTGTTTTTCTGAAACAGGACGGGGATCCAGGTCTGATCCTGAAACACGAGCAGCTCAAGGATGAAATGGAGGAAGAGACGACAGATGAAGAAGAGGAAGAGGAGCAGCAGGAGGAGGAGGATGAAGAGGAAGATGAGGAGCAGGAGGAGGAGATGGTGATGGCGGTGGAGGAGGAAGTGGAGCAGGAAGAAGTTCAGGATGGACTGCAGGAGGAAGGGGAAGATGCGGTTGTGATGGAGAAAGAGGAGCGGAGGAGGAGGAAGAGGGAGAGGAAGATGAGGAGGGAGAAGAGGAAGGAGCGGCGGGGCGAGCGAAAGGAGAGAGAGGAGGAAGATGAGGAGGATGAGGAGGAGCTGGAGCAGAAGAAGAAGAAGGTGGTGGTGGTCCGGCTGGGCCTGCTGAAGGGAACCTCAGAGGTGGGACGATCCGACCTATCAGCTCCCTAGCACATGCTAAGCCCTGCCCACAAACCCAACCTGGAGCCGCAGAGGCCCCGCCCACTGATGAGAGGGATTCTGGGAACTGTAGTCCAGCAGCTGGGGGGAAAACTGAGAGGGGCCCTGATGATGATGGTCTCCTTCCTCTACCTGAAGAAGCCACTGGTCCTTCCTGAGGTCAGAGGTCAGCTGGTGAATGTTGACAGTTCTAACGTCTGTAGCTTGTTATGAGGACAATAAAGTGATCTGAAGCTTTTTATTGGCTCTTCAACACAAAGGTCAAAAGTCAAGGTTCACTAGCCTCATCCACCAGTGGGACCAACTTCAGCCTGACAGGGGTTCAGGAAGGTCAAAGGTCAGGCTCAACCCCATTCTTTCAGTCTGGATAAATAAATTAGGGAAATGACTTTAAATGCCTCCTTCCTTCTGATATACGCTAGTCTCCTTCCTTTTTTCTTATGTTCCCTAGTCTCCTTCCTTCCTCTTGATGATCCCTAGTCGTCTTCCTTCCTTGTGTTCTACCTTCTGCATCTCCTTGTTTCCTAAGCTCGTTAAACCTCCTCCTTTCCTTTCTTGGGTCCTGCCTCCTGCCTCTATCCTCTTCCTTCCTGTTTAAGACCGTCTGCTGAGGAAATAATTTTCCATAAATTCACCATGATTTTTCATATCTGTTGTGTTCCGGCTCTTTACTCCGGGCGCCTCGTCGCCCCGGGACGGTGCTCCTGAACTCCCGGGATCAGAACGCTTGGATATCCTCATTTTAATTAAATGTATTAAAAGTATTTTTGCTTCTGGAAAGAGAAATAAAATAAAACTCAAGAAAATTGTGCTCCATTGAAATGTTAATATTTTTTGGAATTGACAATGGGTGTGGCCAAATGGCTCTACAGCACCCCCTAATGTGAGATAGTCCAACTGCCAAATTGTAAAGAGCTGATATGTCACAGAGGTAGAATCCTCAGAAAGTGTTAGAGATATACCCTAAACCGAACAGAAAGTCGGCCACTTTGGGTTATTTTTGACTTTTCAAGCATGTTGATCTTTATCAAACCATCAGGGGATCAAAGTTATCAAAAGCTTGAGTTTTAGTGCATGTTAAAGGGACCTAATGTTGAAACTTTAACTGTCATATAGAAATACCAAATTGCACCAACCTTGGTACAAGTCAACCATGTTGGATGCCTGACAAAACTATGTACTCATATTATGAGGTCATCTAAGCCCCGCCCCCTCAGAACAGGAAGTCACTTTTTACTTGGAAAGCCTTACCTCTGACTTTGATCAAATCAACATGATTAGACACAGATGACCTTTGTTGACCTCCAGAGGCCAATACATTGTTTTCATGTGTTGTCACACTTCTGGGAACTTTGTAGCTGACACCCAGTTGGTAGGTAACCATCATTAAGTGTCATGACAATTGATATGGAGTTGCCATGACAACAAGCCACAAGCTTAGAACTAGATTTGACCTCGTTCTTAAGGTATAAACCAGGGGTGCCCAAAGTCGGTCCTCGAGGTCTGGCATCCTGCACGTTTTGGTTCTCTCCCTGGTGGGAGTAACAACCATTTCAGCTTGTCAATGTTCTTCTTAGGCCTTCTAATGAGCCATCATTTGATCCAGCTGCATTAAACCAGGGAGAGAACTAAAACATACAGGATGCCGGCCCTCGAGGACCGACTTTGGACACCCCTGGTATAAACAATATAAGTACATTAAACTATCAGTTAATCATTTTTCAGTACTCTACCCATTTCTGTGTAATACTAAGATACATACTAGTGATATTTGCTGTAGTACTTGCTGCTGAACTACCAACATTAGCTTAGTTAATGTAGCTTTCATCTGCTAGCTAAGATGGACATGTAGCCTAGTGTATGATGCTATATGTAGTTACTCTGTCAGCCACCAGAACCTTGTTATTCACAGAGTTTGTATACCCTTTACAAACAGAACCGACCAGAAACATTTCTGTTCTGAATAAGGAGCAGAACCAGCAGGATTTTATTGTGTAACAGCAACAGAAACATCCAATCAGCTGCTGCAGCTACAATAAGCATCACCAGCTTCCAGCAGCGCTTTCCCATGGGCCAACCCAGCCAGAGGTCAAAGGTCAGGGTGTGAGATGCTGGAACAAAGTTCTTGGAGCTCGGAAAACTTTAAAACTCGTTTTAAATCAAAAGAAATCTGATTGGCTCTGCAGTCTGGTCCCAAACAGAGAGAGGCTTTTATTCTGAAGGGGAGGAAGTGGGAGGCAGAGTCTCCAAGTCCGTGGGGGGAACGATCCATTCAGGAGGGAGGATTTCAGACGTTGAGCGTCTTCTTAACGGAGAAGATGATGTCTTTGACCTGTGGGAGGCTGTTCTCCTCTAGGATCTTAGCGTACGGCATGGGGATGTCCACGCCCGTTACCCTGGTAACCGGGGCATCCAGGAAGTTGAAGGCAGGACCTGAAGAAGACAACAGGGAGGCAAAGGTCAGAGTGGACAACAGGTCCCGACTGGACTGGTTTCTGTGAGATAAATTGGGAGGAGACCAGACAAGTGAACTGGTTCCTGGGAAACACACTGGGAGGAGACCAGAGAACTGAACTGTGAGCTCAAAATCTTGTTTTTTTTAAACTCATTTTATTTTATTTAAATTATTTTTTTAACAAATTATATTGAAAGCATGAGAAAAGCCTAAAAACACAACCACTTTAACTGTTGTGAATACTAAGGCTAGTAGTTAACATGGCCACCAATAACGGCAGCTAAACAGTTTTCCAGTAACAGTAACTTGTTTTTCCACCATTAGCAGATTTAGCTTTGAGTACATGAGGATGATTGACAGCACTAAGGCTCTAAAGAAAATCTCTTTTGTGGCTGTGGACCTATTTTAATTGTAACAACAGGGGTCAAAGGTTTCTAAACCTTAAAACCTTCTCACCTTCCATGATGCGAGCGCAAATCTCGGCTCCAATGCCGAACTGCGGCCAGCCGCCCTCCACCGTCACCAGGTGATTGGTCTTCATCACGCTGCCCTCGATGCACTCCACGTCCATTGGCCGGATGGTTCGCAGGTTGATCACCTGGAAAACATCAGCCGTTAAAGGGCCAGCCCAGAACCCCACCAAGCCAGAATCGGTGGGCCAGAACTGACAGACGGCTCTCACCTCGCAGTCGACTCCCTCTTTGGCGAGGACGGCGGCGGCGTCCAGGCAATGGCCGACGAAGCGGGAGTGGGAAACCAGTGTGATGTGACTCCCTGAAGAGAGACAAAGAGGAGAAAACCTTCAGATCAGGAGGAGCGGAGGAGATCAGCCGGCTGATTCCTGCTGCTCTGAGGTTTTAATCCTCTGGACAATAAATGAAGAACTGGGTTTGAACCCAACCGCTGAACAAAACAAAGATTCACAATCCTGGTTTCTGCTCTGAAGCATCCATCCAGAACCGGGTCGGATAGTAGGTCAAAGTTGGCCTACTATCCATCCTTAAACAGGTTAGGATATGTCTATGTTAATTAAACTTTTTGCACAAAATTATTTTTAGATAATGAAATTTTAGTCTGCTCAGTTCTGCCTTTTTTGAGCTGTTTTAGGGCGTCCTGTCACTTTAAATCCAAACCAGCTGCTGCTGGCCACGCCCCCCCAATTCAACATTTACATTCCCACTGAAAATGGCTGGAAACAATTATACAATCATACATCTTTGAAAAGCATTAGTAGAGCATCCTGCACAACAAACAAAAATGCAGCAAGTGGTTTCTGGATGCTAAGTCAACAACAAAACACTTGTCTTTTCCAGCAGCGATTGTACAGTGCATATAGTGGAATAACCAGCTGACCAAACATACTGGATTTCTGCTTGGGATGCTAGGTGAAGGGTTAAACTCAGCTGGGGTTGCTAGATAATTGGGTTGCTGTGCTGGGGTTGCTAGGTAACAGTGTAGTGCCCTCTGAATGTGACTTATCAGGAGGTTTTTGAAATGGCTCATTTTCCACACACCAAAAAAACATGAACTTCACTTTCACTGGAAGGTTGACCTGCAATGTGACCTTCACTGACCTTGCCGCTCCACTTTGGCCTTTCCGATGGGAATTGTGAAGTCTTTGGACTGCGACTCGTCGGACATCTCGAAGGGAACGCCGTACATCAGCTCGTTCTCCAGGAACACAACTGCAGGAGGAGCAAACACAGGTTAAACATTGTTTCAGACCAGAGCAGCGGATCAGATCGATCAGACCAGAGCAGCGGATCAGTTCGATCAGACAAGACGAGTTGATCTGTGGAGAGGAGAACCCCTCCATCGCCCCGTCCAGAGCCGCCCATGCTGACCCTAATCCAACCTGATCCCGGTGGGTCGGCTTCAACCTCCCGATCAGAACCCGGAACGGCTGGAAGAAGATTTCAGGATTTTATTGTCTAAAAAGATTTCTGCTGGACTGGAGAACCTTACTGATACCATCATCATCTTCATCGCCACCATCATCATCACCATTATCTTCATCAACACCATCTTCATCATTATCATCATCATCACCTCCACCATCTTTATCACCACCATCTTGGCGGCGTCTCACCTGGGTTGTCGTCTCTGATGGCGGCCTTCAGGAGGCCTCTGGCATCTTCGGAGTTCCAGGGACTGACGACCTTCAGGCCGGGGCAGTGGGCGTACCTGCAGAGAGACATTCAGATCAGACCAGCGCCCGACCCGAATGGATCCAACCTACAGACCCCCTTTAGACCCACCAGGCAGCGAAGCACTGCGAGTGCTGGGCGGCGACGCCGGCCGAGGCGCCATTGGGCCCCCGGAAGACAATGGGCACCGGCTGCAGCCCGGCAGACATGTAGTAGGTCTTGGCGGCGGAGTTGATGACCTGGTCGATGGCTTGCATGGAGAAGTTGAAGGTCATGAACTCACAGATGGGTCTGAGGCCGGCCTAGAGGAGGGAAACAGCCCGTCAGAACCCAGTCAGAACTCAGTCAGAACCAACATGGCGGCAACTGCCGGACTCACCATGGCGGCTCCGACGGCGATGCCGGCGAATCCCATCTGTGGCAGAGACACAGCATGAACTGGTGGGCGGGACTTACACTGAGCACGCTCAGTGAGCGCTGAAGACTCACCTCTGAGATCGGAGTGTCGATGATCCGCTTGTCGCCATATTTCTTCCACAGACCTCTGCTGACCTGCAGACAAACCAGAACCAGAACCGCCTTACACACCCTGAGCCCAGAAAAGGTTCTGATGAACTCATTACAACTTCTGATGGATGATGGAGCAATATAAAAAAATGATACAAAATCAATTAAAATATTTGAATACACTTCTGACATATAAAGATAAAGAAAATAATGCAAAAATAAATGTAAAAATACATTGATAAACTCAGAGCTCTGACCCGGGCTTACGGTTCTGACTCGCCAGGCTCTCACCTTGTAGGCGCCGTCGTACTGGGCCACTTCCTCTCCCAGCAGGAAGACGCGCTCGTCGCGCTCCAGCTCCTCATCCATCGCCTGGTTCAGCGCATCACGGACTGTAACCTGCCAGGAGACCAGAGCGTTACCGACCAATCAGAGATCAACTCTGTATTTTGATAATCCTCCAATCAGAGATCAGCTCTTTGTGTTTTGATCCTCTGTGGATCTTAATGAGGAGATATTCTCTGTAAAATGGACAGAGTTCTGCCAGCAGCAGGTCCTGCTCCGTCTGCTGGGTTAAAACAGGTTTGTACAAGCAGCCAATCACAGCTGAGCATCACATTAGTAATAATATTTAATAATGAAATAGTAAAATGAGCAGCATGGAGAGGCCTTGACATTAAATCACAATGAGGCTGTAAATAAAGCCATCAAACATGTTGTTGCTGTGTGAAATTCAATTTTATTTTCATTAGCATGACTCACTTTTCTTAATCCAGTTTAGACTCAATAATCAGTTTATTTCTGTCAACTGAATAATTAATGAAATATTAGAAACGTTCAGTAAACTTCCATATGTAATTTTTTTCATTAAAGTTTGATAATATGAAGATCAACATAAAGATTAAATTGTCAAAATGGTAAATGCAGCATTTTATTATTGAGTTCAAATGATTATCAGTTATCAATTTCAACAGAAAAAGTTAAATCATATCTAGAGTTTATTAATAATTAAGTCTAAACAACAATCACACTTTAATGCTCACTGTTGCTTTAAAGGACTAAAAAAATTGTCATTTTAATATTTAATGTTTCTGGATTTCACACATAAGTAAAAAAAAAAATCTAAAATAATCACCAGAATACGACACTGTTATGTATTGTAAGCAAGGTAGGAGTGTGTTTTCCTTCATGGCAGCTCATTAAAACTGATTTATAAAGTGGGTTTAAGATTATTTTAACTAATTACTTATCTTAATTTTACTTACATAAACATCTGCACAAAATAAAACATTTAGTTTCCATATTTTCCGTAAATAGCCCCTGCATTCTTAAATAATTCATGTCAGAAGGTGTTTTACGAATTATTTTTTTTACTTCATGTTGTGATATTAATTTTATTGTTTAAACTAATTTTGAACATGAACCGAGAACGACTGCGTCAGGTCCTAGCTGCTAACAGGCTGACCTGAACAGCGGCCGGGGAGCTGTTGTGAATCCCCCGCCGAACCGCCACCAGCACGGCCCGCTGCGGGAAGACAGGAGCCGTTAGATAAGCCGACAGTCACCGGGAAACAGCTTCAAGATCACCAAGAATGTCCCTACCTTTCCGGAGCGAAGAAAACACCTCAGGGACGCCGCCATCTTTACCCTGTCCTCTGCCGGGAGACAAGGCGGGGTCTGCAATGAGATCAGGAGACTTCAACCAATCAGAGCGCAAGACCACACGCCGTACGGAATGTGTTGTGACACTTAGCCAATCATAGCTGCTCAGCGGAGGTAGAGGCGGGAGAAAGCCCCAGAGTGGAAGAAAACCCAAGGACACCTACCCGCCGTCATTATGTATGGAACATTGAAGGTGCCAAAATGTCAGAAGCTACAGACAGGAAGTGGAAAAACATAGGAGACTGGACAAGCTTATCTTAATCCAAGTCTGGTTAATGGAAAGTCAAAAGTGCCACATTTCAACATAAAATTTATATAACACATATTAGTTATATGTGTGAACATTTTGTCAAAACTGGATCTGTATGCATCAAATAAATATATCTAAAGTAAATAAATGCAGAAATAATTCTGCTTAAAATATTTCACAAGTATTTTTACTTAGTTGTCCAGCCTCACATCATGAATTTCTTAGCCTTAAATATGAAAAACACAAATTATTTCACGATTTAATTAACACAAAAAGAAAAAAAGTTGCTTAAAAATTTAGTTTTTAATTTCAATTTCCAAATTTAATTACTGCATAAACAATTTGATACCTTTTAAATATATAAAAAGTTTAAATTTCCAATTTTCTATAAATTATCAAATATAAAAATGCATTTAACATTAATTTTAAATAATTTGAGTCGCTGTATACCTTATACGACTTTCAAATCTCTGGAAATTAAGGAGAAAAACTAATAAATGTAAAGTTTTGAGTAGATGAAAAGTAGAGTATCTTATAGATTGTACCTATTAATTAATTTAATTAATCTACTAGTTATAGAATGTAGTGGGTCTGATCTGGTCACAAATAAACCAAAAATACAGAACCACGGTCATATTTATGGGAGAACTGAGGATGTCAAAATCAAAAATAAACACTGAGAAAAGTATAATGTGTACCACTTTACATAAGGCTCCCCTTATAGATGGATAATAAATGCTTCATGAAAATGTAATTAATTTTTCTGTAAGCATTAATAAATAATTAACTGTTTATTATATATTAACTAAGGGTGAGACAAAGACAAGAGCTTGCCAAATGGTGAGGCAAATCTGTTCACCTTTATCTACAGTTATTACACTAAACATTTTAGATTACTCGGTAAACACAATAAGCATTTGTAAACATGTTTTTAAGCCTACTGTCTCCTCCTGACCCTGACTTAATTCATAATAAACAGTTGATTTATAAAGTGTTTAAAAATGAACTGATGACATATCTATAAGCTATTTATTAGTTTATAAGAGGAGCCTTATTGTGACGTGGTACCATTATCACAACCAGCAAAAACCAAAACTGAGATAGTATGGATATTCTGGTATTGCCAGGACTATTTTGGTTCCTTCAGATTGATGCTGCCACTACCAGAACATATCAGTCCTGACAATAAGCAGGAGACGGGAGGTATTGTAAAGAAATCTGTTTTTATTTAAGCATTTTAAATTCACCCCATTAAATGGTGCAATCAAATACAAGCATGTGCAATACACGACTCATTGTTTCCCTGAACCCTTTTTTTAGGCGAGTTTTCATTCACATGAAGCAATTTTGTTTATGTATTTACTCAAAAAAAATCAACTGCAAATCCAGTAAACCTCTTCGAGTATGCAGCTCAATGCTGCCTCTGTGAATAAAAACAGTCATCTGGACCGACCCTCTAAAGTGCTGCACAGAGATCATTCTGAGATCATTTAAAGACAGTTCTGGACCAGCTTGGATTGCACTGATCCAAAATAAATCATTTAGGATTCTAGCAAGAACTTGGTTTGATTTCAAACAAAAAGCCCGTCCCCAACGTGGCCGTCGTTATCACCACAGGAGCTGAATATAAAGTCTTTTATGTACCAAACTGTTACATGCAATTAAAAAAAAAAACATTCAAGATCTCCATCGGCACGATGTAATCCATATGGCACAAAAAAACAATAAAACATTTTAACAAAATTGCATGAAAAACGACTTCTGGGCTCTGAAATTAACATTCAACAACTGTTGGACACAATGGACATCCTGTCAAGTTTCATCTATTCAACCTGCTGTGCCTGACAGACACAGCTGAGGTTAACGACGCCTGACAGACACTGCTGAGGGTTAAATAAGCCTGAGACACTGCAGAGGGTTAAATAAGCCTGACAGACACTGCAGAGGGTTAAATAAGCCTGACAGACACAGCTGAGGGTTAAATAAGCCTGACAGACTCTGCTGAGGGTTAACTACACCTGGCAGACACTGACGAGGGTTAGCTATGCTTGACAGACACAGCTGAGGGTTAACTATGCCTGACAGACACAGTAAAGATTAATTATGGCTGACAGACATAGCTGAGGGTTAACTACGGCTGACAGACACTGCTGAGGGTTAAATAAGCCTGACAGACACTGCTGAGGGTTAAATAAGCCTGACAGACTCTGCTGAGGGTTAAATAAGCCTGACAGACTCTGCTGAGGGTTAAATAAGCCTG